TGATTTGTAGATTTATCGGAATTAAAACACATTAAATAGTTGAGCTAGTTCCACGATAGGATTTCTTCTTGAGGACGTCGTCGGTGATTCTATTATATTCACTTTCAAAAAAGCTAAAAACACATGTTGTTATGTGAGCAGGTTTCAGGAGCTCAAAGCTCTTAAAGAAGGCTGCATAAAAAATCAAACATTTTACTGTGTTTAACGGATTTCTGGACGTCCTTATATATCCTCAAATTTTAATAAATTTTATTTCCTTCCATCACGGAAAAGTAAATCGCTAACAGTCAATTTTGAGTTCACCCCTTGTACTAAAAACGAACGCCACTCTATTGTGCAAGAATTCTCCATACAAAAGCCATGTTTATGTAACAATTTATTATGTAAGTTCGTTGTCTGACAAATAAATGTGAAAAATACAACTATTTCGTTTGTCCAACACATGTTTGTTTGTGAAAGGCCGTATTTCGACAACTGTTTAATAATTTAAAGACGACTTATAGGGCGCACGTTTTGATTATCACTTGTGTGCACAAGCAAAAAGTGACCTTAAAGATATAGCTAAAACTGTTGGGATATTCACGTCATAATTTAAAAACATGTTGCTATGATGTACTGTGGATGATTTTAACTGAAAATGTCAAAAATCTGGCTATTCACCAGTTTGGAATTGAAAATTCTGTGTAAATATATTAGTTCCATCGTCATATCCGACGAGGTCTACCGTGTGCACCGCAGCAAAGCGGCGCAAAGATGGATAATTATACGCGAACTAGACATAGCGAGAGTAGACTTGCGCAGCATCTACCACGCTCTCTCCTACTCGATACTTATGACCGGTGCCATGAATAAGTTGTGAAAGCCGAAGGCGGGAGTAGGCGCAGGTGGCTGGCGCGGTCATAGTCGTCCCTATATGTGCGGCCAAAGGTGACTCGAATCGCATAAAATCAGATATCGATTAAATTAAGAATCATTGCAATCCAGCCATCAGTCTTCAAATTGGCCATTCTAGACAAGCATATTATGAGCTAACTGCACCTACAACACCATGTGTAAACCCCCACAGAGAGACCTTTTGATAGTGTCTGTAGCATTCATTACGCCTTTCAATGCTGAACCTCCTGGTATAGTACATGTATCAACACAAAATATCGAATCTAATTTGTACATCAGATGTACAATGTTGGCTTGCATTTTTTTTTAAATTGAGTAGATATTGCCAAGCTCTAAATTAGGTTTTGATATAATTTAAACAAATAAGGTGTAGTGTAGCACCCATATTGGCTAGGTGTGGTGTGTTTTGCGACCATACAGACGACGCTTACACTGACCTAAGGTGAACTTATGCAGTGAGCAGTTTGAAAGTCCATTTGACTTGGTGAATTTATGTTGAAACACTGAGCTTGGGCAATTTAATAAATTGCTTCCGGTTATTTATGCGACATTCTCAAAGAAACGTCCATTCGAAGGAGGGGAAGCTGTTCCTACATATTTTGAAATAGTTTATTCTGCTAAATCATCTTGCCTGCATCTTTCCTCTGGGATTTCAAACAGAGATGCAACAGTTTTCAAGATTCATTCAGCCGTGGGACGCAAGCGGATAGACCAAACACCTGGAGACTCAAGTTTATCGGGTGTTTACAAAAAATAATGATTAAAATTTGAATGGCCTAACATGGAGCAAATATAATTAGAAAATCATGTCGAAAAACGCTGCCAAAACGTGCGATTTTCTGGAACCTGGAATGACTGACAGTCGTTGCTTTCTTGTCTTATTCAAGCCTGCTCAAAAATGGAATTTTAGTACATCGGTTGTTTTTGCCATAGTTGTTGGAAGAATTATACCCGAAGAGCAGTTCACAGTAGCTTTTTAGGTGAGATGTTATAACTACCCTGTCCACTGTATGCCTTTGGAAGGTTTGAACACCCGTGAAACCATCTTGGAGGATATTCACGAAATCTCATTTGTTGAATTTATTTCTGTTTATTCTAATTTAGTCACTTTTGGAACAGAACTTGTCTCTATGGAAACGATAAGAAGCCAACCTCTGTCGAAGAAATTATAGGTTCGTTTGACCTCACGCCTTACTAGGAACACGCAGTACTGTCATCAACGCATACGTGTTTGAGGATTACGGCATCGATGATGGCGAACGCAGTTAATCCGCTTCTACATTGTAATGTGTTTGCAAACTTTGTGGTTTTCACAATCAAGTTTCTGCTTGCAGGGCATCCCTTGACTACTTTTGTCACTACGAAAATATGTAAAATGCATAAGAAAACCAAGTGTGTTGGAGAGATCTGAGGCTACATAGAGGAAAGTCTTTAGCGGTCCCGACAAGAAGACTTGCTACTACCATTGGGGAGTATCACGTTAGAATAGGTGCTTAGAATCTCCTTGACGTACTTCAAGTTAAGCGCGTTGCTTATCGTACAATGAATCATCCATTTGAGAGTGTCGGGGTGGATCCTTAGGGATGTAGCCTCTTACAGGTTAGAAGTCATAAGATAGCGCGACTGATTTCTTTAGTTAAAGACAAGTCCTTTCTACCAGTTTATCTGTATTCTATCAGCTCGGAACAAATATTAATGTATATAGTTGGGTTAAGGTTCACAGTACTTATTCTAGAAAACATTGTTTATCAAATACCTGGAACAGCTCGAATTGGAATTTTAATTAAGTTTGGAGTCAGCTCTCCGCGTCAAAATTTCAAATTAGGCGGGAAAATGTGGGCTGTCTAGAATACTTTCAGCGTGATTACATGCTTAAATAACTAAATACCGGCGTAGATGTCTGTAGTCCAGTGGAATTCTCATTTTACTGAAGCAAAGTTTTGAGGGCATTCCACTGTTGGAATATAATACATTTCACCATCTTGCTGTGGCCTACACAGAGGTCTTCCATTTTTTGGTTGTGCATCGTTTCGGTACACATAATCTTCGTCCCTTTTATTTGCTTTCCCTCCATTAAGGCATAAATTATCTTCTTGGTCACTTGTATTTCTTTAGTTAACATCTCTCCCCCCAAAAAGGTGATTGTTTGGCTCGCTTTGCAAATGCACTAATGTTGGGCTGATTCTCAAGAGCACGATCGTTAAAGGGAAATATTAGCGATCGGAATGTGGGATATTATATCGGTAAATAATTAAAATTACGTACACCCATAGTAATAGTAACGTTTATTGATTTGCCAAATATTTTATTTATATATATAGCGGGTGAAAGAAGCAGTTACGTATCAGTTGAATAATCAGCAACTTCTCAATTACTGACATATTAGTGAAGCTCCAACATCCTTGATAATGAAATCCATCACTACGTCAAGATATGAAAGTAGTAAAAACTGGGGCGCGAATTCACCCCTTCATCGCCATCAAAGAAGCATTAATTAACTGAACATAATCTGTTGACAGCTGACAGTTCTATGCCTCCGATATATTTCTGACTAAAATCTAAGTTTGCCAAAAAAACAAGTAGCCAGTTCTTGCCAAACATCATTCATTATCTGTAGGAGCATAATAACTAAAAAATATTGTAACTCCATTGGTCTTTATTATTAGCATTTTAACCCTTAAAATAAAAATGACTCTAATTGCCCTGTTGCTAGGTCAGTTTATTGTTAATGTCATTTACTACTTTATTGCCAAGAGAAAAAATGCCGGATTGATGTCTTACAGAGTACGTCGTGATTTCTACTTAAAACTAGTTTTGCAAGTAAAAGTGGAAAGGTGCTCAAATGTTTTCAATTCGGGTACTCTGTATAAAGGGTCTTATCTAAATAGTCACCCTTGTCTTAAAAACCTTAATAGTTGCATTTTACATCCAAAAGTAGTAAACGGATAGAATAATTTGTCAATATTTCTGACTGGTACGTTTGCTACATAGAACATAGCTTTTACTAAAACACGTGTTTAATAATTTTCTAACCTGAGTGTAGGATTATTTCAGTACCTATTCAGTGGTATAAATCCGAAAAGTCTTTAAATTCTTGCAGGTTTTCAGACTCTAGTGTTTGCAAAAGTCAATGTAGGATTAAAATCGGTTCCGAATTACGCAAAGTCGTGCGTACGTCGAAGAAAAAGCAACCTAGCGAAGACTTAATTAGAAGAAATGACTCTAAACGTTGGGAACCGTTTGCATCGAGGGAACCTATCGCAACTCTTACGAATGTGGGATGAGAACGCGGAACATCCTTAAATCGTTCGGCTAACACTCATTTTTGCAATGTACCTCAGGCATTAGAGTCCACCTCGAGCGCTTCGTTCATTGCTTATTACATGCGCAATAGTAAGTCATCAGGATTGCCCTTTAAAAACATCTCCTCGACTGATATGGTGAAACTAGTGTAGACGTGGTGGTTAGTCTACTGGTTTCTCAAATAAAACTTTCAATAGACGAATATTAATGATTATATCAGGCCCTTTACACAGTAGGCAAGTGTAAAATGTTTCAATTATCAACAAAATAGCAAAAGAGGCTTGTTCCGTGTTTCAAAAATGAATTTGTTACTAAATTGCATAGCTCCTCGCGCCGTGGACACAGGAAGTAAGGACACAAACTAAGAAAAATTGCTTTACGGTCGCTTACCTCTCCACCTTTCACTTAGATAGCGTTAAAAATGCGACATGCCTTAAACGTAGAAGACAATAACAGCTTCGTTATATTTAGCAAATATTTTGACAGTGAAAAATAACAAAATTTAATTTATACGTTTTTATTCTTACAGATAATTTACTTTATATTGTCACAGAAGTTAAAGTCAGAACGTATAGAGATCAATTACACATGGAAAAAATACTTTTCGTTTAACGACTACTCACATTCGCTTTTTATTTTTGAATGTTTGCTATGGTTGTTAATGTCCTTAGCAATAAGCACAAGATAAACATTTATGACCTTTACCTAACTTTAGAGGCTATCAATCTTTAATGATCTCTTCAAAATAATGAGAAACAATGACCTTATTTATAGTTGGTCAGGCAACTATGACCCATCGCTTGTTAGAGCGTTAGGTCTCCGCCAAAATATCCAGGACATTTGCCAAAATGTTCAGCAAATGCCGAGTCCATTTTGCTTTCGACATGGTAAAGTCTTGCAGCACTGATGTCGCCCTTTGCACAAAATGCCTCTGCTTCGACAACAACAGTTTTTGATGAGTATTTGCTTTTCCCGTATTCACGACCCAGGTCGACCCGAGCCTTCCGAATCACCTCAACCACCGCCACCACCACCTCCTCAGCAGACAGATGGTGTTTTTGTTGCACGCGCCTGCCTGTCAATTTGCGCCACTTGAAAAGATGTGCAAACGTATGCATATGGCGCATTGTTTCTAACGCAACTCTAAGTCAGACCAAGTATTTGACACAGTCGGACTGTCATAGCCAGGGCACGTCGAGGTTGCACAGCTTCTTATCCGCTAAGGACCAAGTTATCCAATCAAAAAGTGTTATTTTTTAATTGTGTGAATAACAGCCGACACAATGCAAATAAATAACAGTTTATTCTGCACACCACTTCCTAAAGCGATGACAATTGTCATCGTTTGAAGAAACCTATGTGCCTTTTCAAATATTATTGAAGTCGGTTGGATAGATTTAGTATGTGGTTTGGTAGAGTTATCTGTCCAGATTTCAGCATTTGTTTGCAACGAACAATAATACATATACTTACGTATAATGTGGAAGGCAGGCATCCCAAGAAATGTTATTTCAGGTAAAGGCGTCCTTTGAGAACATGAGTAAATTTATTCAGTAAATTTTCGACACTGTATCCCCAGGTCATCGACAGACTTGAGAAAAATGTGCAAAGAACAGTTAACAATTCAAAGTGCTGATACAGTTATATAGTCATCTAGTGTGGGCGCTAATTGTTAGTTGCAATTTGCGTCACATCGTGGTAGACATAATTACCAGTTGCAATGGCGTAAAGGCTAATTGACAACTGTAACTTGAGTCGGCCCGGGGTCAGTCCAGGTCATCCGGTGTGGCCGCTAATTGCGGTTCATGTTGGTCCATAGTTTTCGGCTGTAGTCTCTTCCACCTTTCTTTGAGGTGTTTGTACACTCCAGCTAA